CAGTTACATGTGAATCTGTAGTGGTGGCTGACTTTGAATGTCTTCTCACTTATACAAAGTGCGTTGGGCAACATGTGACGGGAACGTGGAACCGGATTAGACTAGCTCTTCCTGAAATTCGCAACTTCGAACACCACATAGTTTAGGAGAATAATTTCGGCCAACTTCTGGTGAGCAAAACGAAACAAAATCTATCTTACAGTCATCTGAAGTCACTAACCAGACTGACCCACTCGGCATAGGTTGATTTCAGCCTAATTAACAGTGCATCCAAAACGGTTGGCCGTTCATTCATTTTAAACCATGCTCTCACCCCTTTATCTGACGTTTGCTTTCAGGAAGATTACCTATAAAACCTAGGAGCCTTTCTATGACGTACAACTAGAACCGTAGGGGATATATTTTCTCCTCGTTGGCGGCTAAATGTCGGTTGACTTTGAATCCAAGGGTTTTGGCACTGCTTAGATCATTGATCGGGGACATTTTTGCCTTTATAAATGAACAATGAAAACCGAAGTATCATTCGTGGACAAACATGCAACTTATCTGGTATCTTTGAGCTCATTACGTCATGGGATGCTTGAAGCCTTAAGGTTTTTTGGTGGGCAATACTGACAGTTTAAGTTAAAAGCTATCATTCCGAAGCCTCCATTATTCAGGCATGTGAGTTGCTTGTGAGATAAGCACAAGCCACTTACTGGTTCAAATATCGCCACGTGATAAGGAATAGCAGGCATAATCAGGTAAACAAGCCCCACAAATGTGCACGGGAATTAGCGTTTCAAGCAAAGTACTGATCAACCGACGCAGGTGACTGACTGGTGTGGCGGTTTAAGTCAGTGATTTAGAAGGGCCATATTCGTACTCCACGACTCTACATCCGATTTGGCCGTCTGTACCGGGTTCCATTTTATCCATCACAACGAACTAATAACGAGTTCTATTGCGGATTCTCCCCAGAAGACAATCTCACAGTGGGTTTGTGGTGAAAGAGAGCGCCAGAAATTAAGGATTTACTACAGGCCAAAGCCTAGTGTGCTGGTAGCGGCCCATTTAACGGAAAAAGACTAGGCACGATGAATCTAGATGAAATTACTGCTCCTTAAATGTGTGAAAATTCTTGTGTGCATGACTGAGTCTATTTCCAGCTATCTGGGGCCGAAATTCCCGAATCATTATATTTTCCCTTCAAATGGATTAAGGTAGATAGACGGGCTAAGGGAGTCTATTGAACTACTTTTGATAAGTTCGGTGCATATTTGCCAGTGAAAACGGTATGTTCGTTGAGGAAAAGCACAATAGGGCAGCACTTCGGTCTTCTGTGAACTCAAGCTGCAGGGCCACGTGAGGCCATCATCAGATGGCATTTATTTAATATTCCCGTTGATCCGCTAGGTCTCTTAACTTGCGGTAGTGTTGGCTACGTGACGCTGTCTGCCATGCCTTTTCATATGGGGAACTCTTTGCTTGCAGATTGCTTGAAAATGTGATGCTTCATTTGATGAGGTGTTATTGCTTCCTAGGTTTGTCAGCGCCAAGTATCCTGTTACCATAATTCCAACCGATAAGGGCTCAACGAACGAATATAGAGGGCGGGATACATAAGCAAGTTTTGGGTGCGATTGCAGTTAATACGGATAACTTCGAAGCTGCTTGCAAATAGCGGTAGATTTAATGCAAGAACTCCACAGACTGTTAAACACATACCCTTACCCCCATAACATAACACCGCGGGAGAGGCCTCTTCTTTTAAGATCATCCAGTGTGACTTAAATGTTTTTACCAGGCCCAAACAATGCTTCCGATGCACAGTTGGACAACACTGACAGCTTTCTTATGTCCTCCTCTTGAAGAGTTGTCAGTATGGTTGAAATACTGAAATACGGTTGGAACTACTGCAGTGCATACCCTACCCTTGACGGGCAAACTGTCCTTAGGTTCATGGTATAGGTGTCAGAGTTTGGGAAACAATGCTCTGGACCTCTTGATATTATAGGCTGTCTCGCCTTCAACCAGTCCACTGGAACTCGTAGTTTTCCCTTTAAACGATCTATCTCTCACGTCGGCTGAGTTTTTCGCAAGCATAAGGCTTCGGACTGATCCACCCACTCTTGTGAGATCACCGTACATTGTGTAAGTGTGCAGCGCATACTGAACCAGTTGACAGGGTCATCAAGATTACCTAAATGCCCAGTGTCTTTGTGCACACTTTCTGGACGTTTCGACCCCGGGGCTTTGAAGGCAGGGGAATGAACCACAAGCTGCGCAGCAGTAAAAAAGATGAAGAGGAATGGTGCGACTGACCAGCCTTGCATTCTACCACAAGATGTGGCGAACTCTGGCGAAAGCTTGCCCATATGCACCCACAGAATTTCCAGAAGAGCTTCTTCAGCACAGATATAAATTTGGAAAGGACATTTTAGGCCGCAAAACACCTCTAAAGTTTGTTACAATCGAATGACCCAACTAATGCGAGGTGAGTCTTGGCAAATTATTTTCTCGCCCAGAAAGCGAAGACTTGAGTGGCGATTTTTCCAATTTCAGGTATTTGGTGAGCAGAATAACTTTCCTTCGATGGTTGTTCATGCTGCACCCAGTGCCAAGTTTAAAGCACTTTTAGCTTTTCTTATGTGAGTTCTCGAGCTGGTAAGCTTAAGGCCACGCACTGAGAACTTAAAGAGTAGTGCTACACCCTTTGTTCGCTTCTTCCTTTCAGATGAACGGAAGCCACTGAACGAGAAGAATGAATTCGACCCTTTGAAATTTGGATGAAAGCATCAACCCTGTTCACAACACACTGAAACATAGGTGTTGTGTATTGCAGAACTCCAAAGTCGGTCCTCGGTTTCCTATTCCGCTATTTTATATCAAAAGAAACGGTGACTCAGGACAACTCCTTTTGGATTCATGGGGATAAAAAAGCACAAGAAATGTCTTTATACGGTCATTAGAGAATCTTCCGCAAGTCCATGCCAGAATCTTCGTAAGTGAGGATCACCCACACCCATATTTGCTCGATCCTGATTGATTTTCATTCCGACCAATCAGCATATGTGCGTCCAAATGGATGTAGACGCTGCCAAACAGTGGTCGTTGGACTGGCACCTTCCTCTGACTGAAGAAAAGTGCGTCGTTTGGAGGGGATTCAGCGAATGCCTTTGTTATACATGGTGAAAAGGGACCAGAAAACATCATGAGGATAGATGCCAAAAAAGATTTAGGCATCTGGGTCTCCTCAAACTTGTCCTTCGCACTACACCATGAGAAATCGGCCCAAAAGGCATTCGCCGTTTTACGGATGATCCGACGTACCTTCTCCCGTATTACTCGCATGGACTTCCAAATACTCTATGGGGCCTACGTCAGACCGCTCCTGGAGTACGCCAACCAAGTTGTCTACTCAGGACGTACGAAAGACGTTACCCTCATTGAGCGTGTCCAGCGGGCCGCCACGAGAATGGTTGCCGGCCTCAAGTCCGTGGACTACGAAACGCGTCTCGCGACGCTTGATCTCTTTCCCCTGGAGTACCGTCGCCTCCGAGGGGACCTAATTCTTACTTACGCCCTATTTGCACAAAGCTTGGCAAACAGGTTTTTTACCGTTGACCCAGCAAACACCCGGCGGGGGCATAGTAAGAAAATTTTCAGGCTCAGAGCACACACATCCATTAGACAAAATTTTTTCTCATTTCGGGTAGAAGTTGCGTGGAATGCACTTCCTCCGACGGTTGTCCACGGTCCTTCTAGAACCCAGTTTAAAGCACTGTTAGACATTTATTTATGCGAATCCTCGCGCTGGCAAGCATACTGCCCCGCGCTGAGAACATAAAGAGCAGTGCTACACCCTTTTTTCACTTGTGCCTTTCAGTTGAACGACAGCCACTGACCGACGAACAAAACCGACCCGGGAAACTTGGGCAAAAGCCTCGATCCTGTGTATCAATCCGTGAATCCGTGAATATGCCTTCTCTGGCTCGGCAACCGGTTTGCGGTACACCGCAATCTACATGACGTTCGGTCATTTGGAGTGGCTCATTCCTGTTAGTAGGACCTTTGAAAGTAGTTCTCTTGTGACCTGACTCAACGCAAAGGTATGGTTGATGGACTATCATCCATGGTGAAACCAAGTTTGGCTCTCAGAAGTTTGTCTTCCCTGTTAATTAACGTGAGATTCACCGATGAATCGGCCTGAGTAGACAACTTGGTTGGCATATTCACGAAGCGGTCTGGCGTAAGCCCCATAGAGTTTTTGGAAGTCCTTGTGATCAATACGGGCGGAGGTGCGCCGAATCATCCGTAGAACAGCGAATGCCTTTTAGGCTGTTTTTTCACGATGCGGTGAAAAGGACGTTTGAAGAGAGCCAGATGTCCAAATCTTTTTGTTGTCCATCCCCATGATGTCTTCTGGTCCATTCTCACCATTGATGTCGTCTGGTTCATTCTCACCATTCACGACATAGGCGTTCGCTGAGTCTCCTCCGAATGACATATGGACGCGCTTTTCGTCATTCAGAGGAGGGTGTCGGTCCAACGACCACTGCTTTGCAGCGTCTACATCCGTTTGGATGGCACTGGCATTAGAACTCCAGGATTTCAAGTCGTCCATAAAAAGTAGACATGGACTTGCAAGAACACCTGGAAGGTCGTTAAGACATATCGGATACATCAATCATCCAAAAATGGAGCCTTGAGGGTCTCCAATAGAGACCGGCGCAGGAAAAGAGTAGGTCGAGCCCGGAGTGTTCTGTCTGATAGAAATGCCTTGATTCAGTGTGGAATTTTCCCTCTAATCCCGTAAGATTCGAGTATGTGGAACAGCGGGGCATGTGGGATGATCGAATGCTTTTGAGAAGTCGAAAAATATTGCATCGAATATGAGTCTCTCACCCTTAGCTTGAGTTAAGCTGTCCAGAAATACGAGCATGTTCGTCGCAGAAGAATGAGTTGGGAGAAATATGTGTAAAACTGGAAATATCAAGTTAGAAATAAGGTGATCTAGGATGGCTCGCTTCAGAATGCGTCCCATCACCTTGCACGGCACGCTAGTGAGACTAATAAGCCTGTCTCTATCGGGTGATAATCCGTCACTGGCTTTGTAGATTGGTGACAGTCGCTTCCTTCCCAGCACAGGAAGGGTGGTCTTCGTCGAGCGAGTGAGGAGACATCAGGCAGAAATGTTTTGCCAGTGTGAACGACGTTTCCTTCAATATCCTTGGATGAACTTCGTCAGGCCCCATCGCGCAGAACGGGCTAATCTTGTACAAGAGTTGACGAACGTCCTCTACCGTGAATACCAAGCCGGTCAGAGGATGTACATAGTTCCGCTTTGACAAGATTTAATGTAATGAAGACGCTGGGGCTGAATATAAACCTGCATAGTGCTCTCTGTAGACCTCAGATACCACTGTTGAATCACTCGTGGGTTCCACGTTCCTGTTCCTCAAGGAGAACGCAGTTGGTTTATTTCTGCGGCGAGGTCTCATGTATTTAAGCAGAGACAACGTGCGCAAAATAATGCCAGGGTGCACTTTGGGTGCGACGACCATTAGGCTGACGGTACACTAGATTTTGTAGGACGTTTTCAAACTGTTTTGGGGCTGGTATTGCTTTGGTACCAAACCATCCGCAGCATGGTCTTTGGACTTCTGGGCTTCACTTTTTTGTGAACTAGGGGATGCAGAACATCTGGGTTAAATTTCTTGCCGCCTTGGAGAAATGATGTCTCACGCTGGATTTATAATACTGACGGTGAGGTAATGTCAATGTTCTATTCAGGTCCGTTGGATTCCCCTTGGGATTGTGCTCAACGAGTGTTCAGCTCATCGTTTGAGACGACGGTTTTACGTGTTAATCGCCATTCCATTTTTCGAGGGTTATTTTCCTGATACCTCTCTTTAAGCAGTTGGTCGATTCAGCTGAAATATGACTTGGTTCTCGCCTGCAGCGGAAGCCTTCGTCCCCCGGACTTTCGCAAATCACCAGTGTTCTCTGTCATCCTACGCTCTCTTTACTATACGGCGTTTGAGGGATATGAGTGCGCCGCCATAGTCTCTAGTTATGGGCGTGGTTTTTCAAGCAGCAATAAGATCTAATGCCTACTCAGATGGCTTAGTGGTTAGAGTGTGAATTTACTGACCGGAAGTTCCGTGGTTCGAACCCGACCTCTGCATTTCGACTTCTCTTCTCTAGGATAGTTGCTCGGATGAACTCACAAGTTCAAGACCTGGAGAACCTAGCGACACCACTGAACGAAGACAGTGCGTATAATAAATTCATCTGGAATCAAATAGAGTTTCAAACGCTGAGAGCACCTGACTAATCGTTTCCAGTAAATTTCTAGCCAGATCAGCCATATACTCTTGAAACTTGTCAAAGTTCATAGATGGAGTTGCTCTGCTTCGGCACGCATGACGACGACAGAAGTGAAAACCGGGCCCGCACAGTTGCGTGTTCGGAGTTAGGCGTCAAACCCCAAAAGGAACAATAGTCTTTAACTGAGGCCCTCTATCGGTTACTGGTGGACAAATCATTGAACTGATTCCATTTTTGGGTTGCAGTTGGTGGACTCCTAGTCACTCGATCTGAGTGTTTTTTAGAAGGCCAGGAACAGGCGGTAATCAGCACAATGGAAACAGTGCCTTCTCATTGCCCGTACGCTGAGCACCCACTCTAAATGCCACCTTACTGCTTCCTCCGAGCTTAGTCCAACTTTGGCATTCATATCGCCCTTTAAGATGGCTATCCGTTCTTCTTACCGGTGGAAGAGCTCGCGACATTTCAGTAGAACTCGTCTTCCTCAGATTCAGAACTGCAGTCTGTCGGGGCTTATGCTGATGCTGGCGTTTGATAAATAAACACCGCTTACCGCAACGACGTACGTTGGTATGAAGTAAACCAGATGACCGTAGGTTGCAAAGACGATTGTTTACTGGGACCCAGTCCAATAGGTCGCTCTCAGCCTTATAGCTGAGTGCAGCAATCACATCAACTAGCCATTGCGTCGGGATCACAAGATATCAGAACAGCGGAATGTAGAACATCTGGGCCCGCCTTTAGTGCCTAGAGGATCGTGACAAAAATGCGATCTTGTATGCGTGTTTTGGAGACACTGCATATATACGAAGGATACCTGCTGCCCAATTTGGCCGAGAGTGCAGCCTCAGAGAATTCAACGTAGATGAGATCTTTGGGGTCCAACAAGGGATTACTTTTATCCATTTTCTGGACGAAGGTGTACATAGAGGCCACTGTTAAGGGGCAATGGCAGATAAGTTGATCTCATTTCATAATTCCGTGGGTGGATAAGGTTTTCTGGTGAGGGCCGGCGAACAAAGAGTTGCAAGTGCGAACGATAATCCCTGATCGCATAGGCCGAAGAGAAGCGTTCGGTTGAGGTGCCCCTTCTTGTGTCATTGAGTCAAAAGTCTGACTTGCAGGCAGTGGGTTAATGTAGGGTTCTGTTCCAAGACCCTAACTAAGGCCTTCAACTCAAGTGTGACCCAAAACACAGTGGCTGATAGGGTTTACTTGTAGGACCCTGTCCAGAGGCAGTAATTCGATACGCTGACCCGCTTGGCTGCACTGGACTTGCTTAATCCAAGGGTACAGGATATTTGACATGAAAATTTCACTCCTAATGCAATTGCGGATGGCAGGCGCCTTTGTAACCTCACCGAGCACCTCGTGGGCTTTTGTTATCCCGACGGAGTTGGGCCATTCTCTGGTGGTCACGGACGATTGGAAGATGCTTTTTTTAGGGTCGACTTTTCTAGTCCTCCGTCCCAAGGAGGAAAGCGGTATTGCCACACATAAATATTCGGTGCTGGTCAGTAGTTTGACCTGATTGGCTGTAGTGGGCTGGCCTGACAAACGGGGAGGGCGGGAGTGAGACATCATTTTCTAATGGGGCTGCGCAAGTGGGTACCTTCTGAACAATACTAGAATCCTTTATTTTGCAAGTGATGCGCTGACAGTCACTGGGTGATCGAAGGTGAGGTTGTTAGAAGTAGCCCTTTATAACCCTTTCGGGGATAGGCAGCATATCTGCTTTCATAAATATGGGCACGCTGATTGCCTAAACAAAACACTACACTTCATACTCCCAAGATGCAAACATATCAGGAAGGCCAAAGGGAAGCAGCGAGACTCCGTACTTTGACTAATCGTGCTACAATGCGGTCTGGGGGTAAAGTCGTACTGTCCTCTGCGACAGGAGTGTGAAGGCAGTAAGGTTTTTCCTCAAGGCAATCAGCATGTCCATATTTATGGAAGCAGCGATGCTGCCTTTCGAGGAAGAACGGGTTAGGAAAGGTCAGCCCCGAAAACCGCACTCACTCAATGGTCGACCGTGACCGCCGACGCATTATCCAATGCGGTCGAAATACTTTTAAAACCAAAGATGACATAGTTCTTCTTGGATCTGATCCCGTGGTAATTCAACCAATATTAAACAATCTAAATAATTCCGCCTCGCGGTTCGGCATGCGCTTCACACCTGCAAAGTATAAAGTGCTACTGCAAGACTGGGTGGGCTCGAACCCTAGCCTCATTCTTGCGGATAAATCGATTGAGGTAGTAGACAAGTTTGTTTACATGTGCAGCTGTGTCAGTCCCGGTGGTCTCGCGAAAGATGGTATTCCCATCCGGATTGGGAAGGCCAAAGAAGCTTTTAGGGACTTGTGTCACCTGTGGTGTAGGCGTGACATCGGCCTTTCTGCCAAGGATCGAGTTTACAATGCTGCGGTGCGCTTCATATTAGTACACGGATCAGAAGCCTGGCTGCTGCGCTCCGACGACGTCGAAAAACTTTCAGTGTTTGACCATCGATGTCTGCGGAGCCTTCTCCGAGTCTGGTGGGAACACCGGATCAGCAATTCTGAAGTACGTCGAATGGTATTCGGGAGAAAGAACTCACCCTCGATAGATGAACTGATCACACTGTATAGGTTGCGCTGGCTTGGCCACGTGTTGCGTATGCCAGTCGACCGACTTCCTCGAAGGGCTCTTTTCGCACAACCACGTGAAGGGTGGAAGAGAGCTGGTCAAACACTGACTAGGCAGCGAAGTATAGGAGCTATTACCAGCAAACTCAACTTCGCCGGTCATTGTCGTCTTCTTGGATGGGGGTCCCGATACATTGTCAGACATGGTCCAGTCGCGCTTTCAATGGCGCTCGTATATCCAAGCTATCAGCTTCATAGCCCCCTTCCCAACTCCCCCACTTAGCAGTCCACTGACTGCTGTACTTACGGACCAGTTTATCAACTCGCACCTCCAATTCGCAGCTACCTATACCGCCTCCCCAAATCATTGGTGAACAAAACTATGGCAGCTACAACCGCTGTACGACAAGTACGCGGTTCTTACGACCGACAATGATGATGAGGAGGAAGAGGAATAGGAGGATAGTACCACTTGACCTTCAGACCAATTTTTAGCGTGATTACTCGCAGTACAGGCACTCGTTGTTTATCGGCGGGTTGCTTCCGGTCGACTGTCATCTTTTTGCTATGGTGTGATGCGAAATTTCCTTTTTACGTATTAGTTTTTGTCGGGCCCTAGCTTTAAAGCACATGGTGGGTTTTGCAGAGATCTATCTCCACTGATTCGCCAAGTGAAGGATATACGCTGCAATCGTCATAAGCGAGATTGATGTTTACCTTGACCACCTGTGGTCCATTGAGAGACAATCCGAACGTCGGAGGCAATAGGAACTCTAGCTACAAGAACACCATTTACATTTGTTTCTCTGCCAAAGCTCCTTACTTTAAGATTCTTTCCGATGAGAACGTTTTAACTGAGTTTCCTCACATTCATTGCTTCTGATCAATGCTGGCTTCCAATGTTTACACTGCCCGTTTGTTACTGGTATGCACTTCCGTGCCGTAGGCCACATTAAATGACTTGACGGTGTCGCTCGAGTTGGTGTGCGTGGCACGCCAGTGGCTATAAAGTGTGGGTGAGGCCTCGAATCCCATGCTAGTAGGTCAGCTGATTGATGTGGTCGAAGAAATCACGCTTTGTCAGTTGTATTAGGAGCCTGACCAGGTAGCTTTGCCTATCGCTGATACCCACATCAGCTTGTTTGTCAAGGGCAAAGTGAGCAACACTGGATTGGGTATGATCCTGTTGTGTTTACGGCATAATTATGGCTACTGCGGGTAAACTTTTGAAGGAATTTCAGTTTTTGTTCCTTTGCAGCCCTGCCCTTGTACAATGGTAACCTCGCACGAGTACCACTCGCTTGCTGTTGATTGCAATCTACTGAAACACTGTAACTATTCGAATTTTGGTTGTTTGTTTTACGGCTGATACGATTTGTGTTGACTATTTCGGGTGTTTATTTTGTCCGTTTTTTATTTCTTATTTTCCTCCATCACTTTCCATTCTCGTTTTCCTCTGTGTTTCAGGACTCACTCTGCTATTGCCTGTACCATTCACAATCCACGGTGCTAAGTTAAGTGAACGTAACACTGTGTTGATTGCGGTGCCTATTTCAGTCATCTGTCGGATTTAACTCCACCATGTCATTACTTTACTGGAAGTTGTGTTCCCTTCAACGAGTTAGCCACTCTTTTGATTGGTTTCCAAAAACTGCTGCTTCGATTGGCTATCGAAATTCGTCTATACTTCTTGGACGATACCTTAATTCTCTGGCTAAAACAAGCTCCGGCTGCCCCTATCCCATGGCTACCGTTCCTGCAACAAATGGTATGTAGCACTGCAATCTTTGAATTACTTCGCTTCCATCCTTTGACCGTTCATTTTGTGCCTTTAGCTCCATTCTAATTGTACAATTGTATTTCACATATAGTTTTCAGGAAGTGTACAATAACTGTACAATAACTGAGTAGTGGCCGTGTAGTGCTTGTTGGTGTTTATATTTGTTTGGCAAACTCTAAAATCGACGCTAACTTACCCTCTGCCTACATAATATAGATTTCTACTCATATGGGGAAACACTTCTTGGAGTTAAAGGAGCCTGTCATGTGAGAACTATTCATTCGAGGATCCAAGCGACAGTGACAAAAGGCAAACGCTGATGAGAACAGGTTTTGATATCCACCATATGACACTAATTATGTGGTCAACATCCCTACCGTTATGTAAAGTTAGAATGTCCGCCATTTGTTTCAGAGGATGTGAACTCTTATCGCCCTTCCCTCATGAGGTACAGCTGCCTGAGTTTCTCTGAAACCGTGAGACAACTGGACACTGCTCCATGGCTGTTCAGCACAGGCTGGCTTAGTTTTGTGTGGCCTCTTTGCTGAAGTTCTATACTATCCTCACTAATTGTAAAATTTCCTTTTAGGGGGCACTAATTGTACTTACATCACCCTTCTATGGCAAATGGCTGCTTGAGCTCAGTGGTTAAGGCGTGAACTTACTGGACGTAGGGCTCGTGTTTCGAACCCAACCTCAGTGTCTGGAATGCTTTTGTCGGCTTAAGCAACCGGACAGTATCTTGGTCCTCTCGTTTCTCTCGGGTGGCATGGTAGCCTGGTACCAGAAAGGAGTTACAACTGAACCCCCTATTATTAATACTACTACTATTAGTACTATAGAACCTCTTGGCAAATCTCACGCATTTTGAAAGCTCTTCCAGCCGCAGCAGCACATGCTACATTTTTTTTAATTTTTAAGTACATATATACTGTTGGTAAGCGTTCGTTTCCTAATTTGTTTGTCACATTGAACGAATTTAATGACCTCTGCTGCATGCAGGGTGTGCTGAGTTGCATACGCAACCTGTTCCACGTCTCTTGCCCAGTGTAAACCTGGGAAAATAATACCGCAGCGTGGACTGGGGAGCGTCTTTTCCAAGCCATTGATCTAGTCATCCGATAGTTATTAGTTTTCAAGCCAGGTGGAGTTAACTGGACAGCTGAGATCCATAGAGTATTTGCGACGTCGCCTGGTGGCCCGTACCATTCACAAGACACCCAGGGTGCACAAAAAGCTATCTAATTGTCGCTTCTAACCACTGCAGGCCTTACGCTTTGACATGTTCATGGTATTAAGTCGGATCAGTTGCAGACAACTGTATGAAATGCGCGTACAATCAAATTTATATGGATGGACCACTACAACGAAAACATGAAAATAACCCAGCAACCTATACCCGGAGCTTGAGCACACGAGCCACACGAGGTTTCTGGCCAATACTTGGTGTGGTCTGTATGGTGGTGATCACTAAAAGTCGTTTCCAGTACCCTGCAGGCTTAGAAACCTGGAATGTTCGGAACGTCAAAGCCCTTCGTTTGTGGTCACGTGCGTGAAGCAATTAAGGACCAGTATTACGTAATGAACCGAATAGAACACAATGCGACATTGAACTACATACGTTGTAGGTGTAAGTTGTCAGTAGCAGAAACAGGGACCTGAACTGATGAGCAACGTAAAACGGTTATAGTCATCAGCATGTCCTGTTGATGTCCCATAATTTTCAAACCGAGTTGAAACTCACAGTGTAAGTGAATGGTGACCTGGCTCCCTACACCACTCATTAACTTGTGCTAGTCAGTAAGTGGTTTTTTTTCTGTACACCAGTGGTCATAGTGACTAGTATCGTTGAAGGCTTAAATGTCTGGTAGCCTCACAAAACTAACGTAGAGCCGGTAGACTTACTTCGTCCGCCGACGGATCGCCGTGCGTCCGCTGACAGCGAATCAGCTTAATGAGACGAGCTCAGGCAAGCGCACTGTCGCGTATCCAACTTGTTTTGCCTGCCTCTTCAGTGAACATGCACACCTCAACTCTGGCTCGAAATTATCTACCGTTGATTATACAAACTCCGGATAATGTAAGTGTTCCTCCAGGCCCTCCTGTCCGTCTGCTTCTATTTTCACGAGGTCCTCGGTGGTGGCTTCCAGACCTTGAACCAAAGTTACCATGTGTAAACGTTTTTGTCCGTTAAGTATCTAGTTGAACACGCAAGAGGACAGATAGGAACACAGTGTAGACGTACGGCGTGGTCTCTAGTTGCAGGCTTCAATTCCTTAAAGTTCATTTTTCGAGTGTACCAAAGTGCACACCAGCGTTGGTAACATGTGGTCCGAAGTTGCCATCAACAGATCGTGTGCTTTTGAGGTGTCAGAAATTTGCACAATAGTCCACAAACTCTATTCTAGTCCTGATGCTCGATTGTCTACTGAATACTCCATGCGGCGTAATTAGGTGCATACCGAAATGCTCCAAGTTTACCAGTGAACATGCACACCTCAACTCTGGCTCGAAATTATCTACCGTTGATTATACAAACTCCGGATAATGTAAGTGTTCCTCCAGGCCCTCCTGTCCGTCTGCTTCTATTTTCACGAGGTCCTCGGTGGTGGCTTCCAGACCTTGAACCAAAGTTACCATGTGTAAACGTTTTTGTCCGTTAAGTATCTAGTTGAACACGCAAGAGGACAGATAGGAACACAGTGTAGACGTACGGCGTGGTCTCTAGTTGCAGGCTTCAATTCCTTAAAGTTCATTTTTCGAGTGTACCAAAGTGCACACCAGCGTTGGTAACATGTGGTCCGAAGTTGCCATCAACAGATCGTGTGCTTTTGAGGTGTCAGAAATTTGCACAATAGTCCACAAACTCTATTCTAGTCCTGATGCTCGATTGTCTACTGAATACTCCATGCGGCGTAATTAGGTGCATACCGAAATGCTCCAAGTTTACGTACGGGCCAAGTAGCAGCAGTCGTAAACTTCTCAGCTAGGCGTTGCAACTCATAAATATTTACAAACAGTGGACAGTCGTCTACAAGCATGAGGATGCGGACCTTAGTATGTTCAATCACACTCCTCGCACCAAAACGTTTACTACTGAACAAACTTTAACGAAGTCGACATTCGATCGGCGTGCCAGCGTCGTCGTTCCCTAAAGCCGCTTTCAAGGTGGCGTCAGATACAGACTGAGGGGAAGCGGGAAAAGCGTGTATCTTGCTTTGCGTCAGTCGGGACTTTAAAACCACTTGGATTCGATCCACTTGCTCCCATTCCGTCACATAGACTTCGGCCAACTGCATTTGGGAAAAAATTTGGATTGGCAGAGCCGAAAGCCTTTGAGGTCAATGAAAGGTTCATGCAGACGCTGGAGATGTTGGTAGGATTTTTCTTGAAGCTGTTTTGTTACAGTTATCCAATGCATTATGCTGTGACCAGCGCCAAAACTACGTTGCTCTTCGGACCTGTGTGCCTCGATCGTTTCAGCTGGCCGACAGCTGAGTAGCTATCGTGCCAAGAGCTTGTCGGCGCACCCCAGCAGACTGATGCTTCTGTAGTTGTCAGATGAAGCTTAACTTCCTCCTTCACGGAATGACGACGGTAAAGTTTATTTGAGTCTTAGTATTACTTCTTTTTCCTACCGAGTGATGCTGATCCATTAATGGGGCGAGTCTCTCAAAGTTTGCGCCACTCTACTTGAAGCATGCATCGTTCAGCTATACCACCACACTTTCGGTGCCAGACTGTCATGCCACTAGAATGAACCACGAGGGCTGGGATACTGCCAGGTTCCCCAAGCCTAGACAGGAGAAGTCGAGAGGCGGAGGTTGGGTTCGAACCACGGACCTTCCGGTCACTAAATTCGTGCTCTAACCACTGAGCCATCTCGCCCCCTCCACTTAAAGAGTTTTTGTTGTAAGCTTTTCTTGCCGTTCCAGAAATGCGCTTTAGCTCGTCGTATATCGTCCGTAGCCTCAGTAAGTTCCAGGCGTAATTTCCTCTCTTTGAGGTTGTCTATCGGCTGCATTGCAACTGATGTCTGTCAGTCGGTTCAAAAGTTAAAGTGTTTGTGCCGTAATTTATTTCTGTTCGTGATTTCTGCTTCAGTCCCATGTCAGTACTGGAGAATTCGAGTCGATTTGATGCTTGTCTCATGCGTGGCTTCCAAACAACCGTGAAATTATTTGTTACCACTGAGCAGCGAAGTTTTCTATCTGATCGCTTTGTTTCGCCATTCGTCCCGTGTGCTCTTGAGTTATGGACTCATTTTGTTTCGAGTCTTTACTTCCTAGCCTTGTTTCTCGGATGGGCAAAAATGCAGAAAGTGCTTCGTGCTTTTCATTTGGACAGGGTAGTTAGTAATGGTGCATCCGGAAATAGCCTCGTGAACACTTCCTTGATCGGCAAGCCATATTTTACCATGCACCATCACGTGTTATTTGTCACGAGTAGACTGCGCGTTACCGCGGTGTCACTGTGCGCCTGTATAATCCATTCAGTGGTACTGTGTGACCCTCACAGATCCTCTCATACCTGTTTGGTCAGTGGGTAGAGGTTTGACGAACGCAGTTTTCTGTTCCTCCAGGTTGAAGTTGGAAGGTGGCTCGCTTCTTGAAAGTGTAGGCTGCCCTGATGGTCCTAGGCCAACCACTGCCGCCTTGCGTTTAGGTTTTCGAGCCAATGGTTTCTTTAGGGACCCTAATCGCCCTCCAGTCTAGGTTTGGGCGCTCTGGCAGTATTCCAACCCACATGCAACCGTAAAGTGCATAATTTATTCAAACAAACATGGTTGTGTGGGAATGAAGCATCATGGTTCTCATCTGTTGTTGCTGTCATTGATGAGTATAATGATGCTTCTGTTTTCTCTTACAACTAGTCAGGAAAAATGCTCTTTTCGTCAGCTTGATCCATCAATTCTCAGACGTTCCAACCTACGACCACTGGCCACTTGGAAAGGTGTGATCGCTTGCGGTCTATCCGCAAAAGAGGACTTATTATGGGTATTTACCACAAATTTGATGGAAATATGAAAGCCCGGCCTTAGGCTGACCATATTCTTAAGATTTTCTTTATTAGCATCACTACCTTTTGACCGTAGTTACTTAACCCGGCCATGGTAAGTAACATACCCGGTTTGGATCAAACCTTAGGCCCGTCCTTTGTTATCCGTTTCCTTCTCGAGCGAAAAGACAATAGCGCCCGCCTGTTGAATAGCAGATGTCTGTTCCAAGCGAGAATCATGTTTGGCTACGTTGATGTCTGCGCGCCGGAAGAATAGCTATTTTCTGAGCCTCTACCCAAACAACCCATTACGCTTGGTACCACAGCCAGCGCGACGATGGTCGAGGTTGGATGGGGGCGGATTGTTACCTGCCAACGGATATCCGATTGGTAATACGATTATAAATGTCATCGCTCTTTCTGATGGGTCACCAAATATACAAGTCAAAGGCTTTCTTAAGGCCTTATCTGTGTTCCCTTATTAACATGGTTGCAGCCAACAGTCCATACACGCAATATCCAGGTAGCACTCGAGTGGCCTGCTGTGCAGATGTAAGGTGTATGCTGACCAACATCGCTGCTGTGAATCTCCACACACGACGTTTGGAAATTGATTAAGCTTTGCATTTTTGTTCCTTACCTACTTCTGTTCAAACCAGTCTCTTTGGTGTTTGTGACATGTGGCGGAATTCCTTTCTATTTGAAGCGGAATACTTCCAAAAACTACTACTCCAACAGCCGAAAACTCCTCCAGATGCCCGTGTTCTCAAGGTTGCCGTCATCGGCTGCCCGAATGCAGGGAAATCGAGTCTTGTCAATATGCTCGTCAAGTGGCGCGTGTGTGCTGTTGCTGGCAAAGCACATACAACCAGATCGAAGCAAATGGCCTCCCTGATGCAAGACAATGTGCAAGTGGTGAGTCCACTTTTGTTATTTCACCTTTCCCTTGCTACAGGAGCTTGACAACAGTTTTACGTCTGAGGGAAGGCAGAGGGTTCAAATCTGAGAGGTTTTCAGTACTTCAACTTTTGTATCTTCAATTGATGTTGAATGCTCGGTTTCTGTGTACTTGCAGTCCCTCACTATCATTGTGCATCGTCATGCTTTTTTGTCTGAAAATGCCATGTTTTCGATGCTGCACCTACCCACTTGTCCTTCACCATAACGCTCAGTCTGACCTAGCCTGCTAGGTTCTTTATTTCAAAATTTCTAATCAAGCCATTCGGTGCGCGTAGTGGTCTTCAGGCCCCATACTACCCTGATTACATTCCACCCGTTTGCAGACCAACTGATCCGGTTTATAGACTATATATGCTTCAGCTACTCATCCATAGCACACTTATTTTAAAAGTGACTTATAAAAAAACATCCCTACTCCACAATTTCAGTTTCTATCTCTTCTATGCAGTGTTTAGAAACACAACGTAGTTGTCGTTGGTTTGTTTTTCAGATTTGCCCATAGGCCACCTCGCAACATTAGTGTTGAGTTTGAAAGAAGCCGACGTCAGGACGTAAGATGTCTTTGACTCTGCAAACTAACCTTTAGGGATCGTGTTTTTAACTGTAGTCGTATTGTGGTACCTAAACCAGGAGTCAAACCACCGAAGGAGTTTGTGGAATCTACTAATTGTGAGTCATCACGAGCTGGCCAGCCGAAACAGATCTGCGTGACACGACTACATTATCGTTCAGTTGAAACTGACATTTAATGGTTCGCGGAAGTTAACTATTATAACCATGCCAGATAGCTTTTCACGGTAATTCTGAAGTTGCAGTTCATCTCGTGTAACTCTGCTAAAGGAAGCCATACAAGTATTTTATCCTTGCTGATAATCACCATCACTATAGGCCCCATAAATCCTAAGGAAGTCTCAACTCCTCAGTCATTAAGTGAAGAGTCAAACTCTCGAACTACAGTGTACCCAACAACGGTGGTGAAAAGCAGATCAGCACTAGCGTGCTGCAGTATAGTTCTGCTTGAATGAGAACGAGTTGTGCTCGTTCATCTGTAGGTGCAACGTAAGTCGCATTACTAGTCGCCTAATAGTGTTCAACTTTCATCGGAGTGTTTTGACTTCAAGGACTAGTTCGGACAATTGAAATGCATACTCCTGATTTTTCCTAGAACAGATAGAACTGGTACACAGTGCTCTTCGAAACTCTAATCTCATGTTCATCGATACTAACGTCTGTTTACCTCAACGGTCGAACCTAGCTGCTCAGCACCATTTCTGCTGAATTTCTTGAACGACATAAGATTCTGAGGCAAGATCTCCCTGCTCAACATCTGGTGACCGAACTTTGTCATTTATGAAAGTACCCGAACAGAGATGGTTAGTCCTTTTGATAGGTTTGGTTATATCTTCACTCTGATGTGTTCCATGAAACATCTAGCGTTGTGGGCGACGCTTTTCAGTCGGTTGTATTATTGGGGAATTGTTAAATCAGATACTTTATTCCTTATTTGACCACTGGTAATCTATTGTGGTGAAGTTTGACTCAAGTTACAAGGGTAAGGTTTTCAAATGTGTCTGTAAGTTCTGTGTGGAGCATATAGCTTTGATCTTTCGGATGCATACAGTGGAAAGAGAACTAGCTGAACTTGGGGGTTAATAGAGTTCATCAAAAGTGATGTTGACGTCGCTTGTGGTGTCCGCTGTAGCGTGCTTCATTAACAGTACAAAAATTTATTAAAAAGAGCACTGAAGCCAATGTAGTTTCCCTTATTAGGCAATGAGATTATCAGTAATCAAAATCAGAAGTTATATTGAATGGGGAAGCTTTTATGTTTTGACGCCCCTTTAGATTGTTGCTACACGAGGGCGGGGCTATTTGTGACCAATTGATGAGATGAAGTTGGAAGTAGGTGTAGTATATAACCCAGTCATAGAAGGATTTCCCCTGGCTGGTAAGGTCGTCTACCTGAACTAAACGGTTTCAATGTGTATCTAGTTTATTAGGTAAAAAATCTGTGTATTGTTTACCCTTGGTCCGTCGGTCCCCTCCCACTCTGTGAAAGCGACCTTGGCATCAACCTAGTAGCTGTGGCATCGAATGTGCTCTGTGGTCTTATTCTTCCAAGGTTGACTCAATACAAACGGAGACATCTGTAAAAACCGAGTTGGGTTCTGTCGTGTAAGATGGTGCATCGATCATATTCTCACCCTCCGACAGATTATGGAACAACGACACTGCTTGCAGCGATCAACGATGACAGTATTCCTTGACTTGAAAACTGCCTTTGCCTTTATGGGCCGTCAGGCATTATGCGGAGCAAAGGTTTTCCCCATAAATTTTCGACTTTCCTTAAGGCGCTGTACACCAACTCCTGTGGACGTGTTGAGGTCCACATGAAGCCCTCGCCTGAGTTCGCCACATCAAGTGGTGTTAGGCAAGGCTGTCCTCTTTCGTCTTTCCTCCTCAACTTCGTCAGTGATACCGTCATGGAAGACTCATTACCAGCTTCTAACGCCTGTGGGGTCGAAGTGCTCTCTTGACGCTCACTCACAGATATTGAGTACGTAGACTATATAGGTCTTCTTGGATGTGACACCGTCGTAATGCACCAATATTAAATAATTGAAATAATGCTGCCTCATGGTTTTGCATGCACTTCACACCTGTAAAGTGTAGTGCTACTGCAAGACTGAGTAGGCTCCAACCCTAGTCTCTTGCTTTCAAATGAGTCGATTGAGGTGGTAGGTGTTTCTATACTTTGGGGCTATATCAGTCTTGGTGGTCTCGCGAAAGTCGCTATTTCCATCCGGATTGGGAAGGCCAGATCGGCTTTCGTGAACCTGCATCACCTGTGGCGCAGGCGTGACATCAGCTGCTGCTAATGATGATGGTGATGACTCCACTCCCTACGCAGTCAATGATGATGAATCCGCACGAGGGCTAATCAGCGCGATCGCATCAGAACGAATTTACGCAAGCTGTTTTGTTTCGATGGTCTGTTCTAGGTGTCTGTCTAGTAGTGTTATTATGATAGTAACTGTATCAGCTCTTTTAACATTGCTTTCGACCACCACTCCACCCACATTCCATCCCTACTGTTTTAGGTTTTTGTGGACCTACCCGGACTTGTGAACAGTAGTAAAGCTTGGAGGTAAGGTTCTTTGAACCTCCTATTTAGGATTCTCACAGTTTCAACTTGGAGAAGTCCTTCATACGAGATCCTCATTCTGCAATTTTCGAGTCCGATATCAGTAAGTATCTTGACCTTGTGTCGTCTGGTGCCACGAAGTTTACTGTCCGCCCTCACTTACTTATTTGAACGGCAGAAAAGTTGTACGGGAATTCAAATAACTCATCCTTTTAATCATTCGGCTGTAACATCCTTTCGGTGCCGAGTTGCCATGCCGCCCGAAGGAAGCACGAGGGCTGGGACACTACCAGGTTGCCCAAGCCTAGACTGGAGAAGTCGAGAGGTAGTAGTCAGGTTCGAACCATGGACCTTCCGGTCAGTAAATTGGCGTTTTAACTACTGAGCCATCTCGCCATCATTTTAGCTGATCAAGAGTGTTGTTTTCTCACCGGGTTCCACTCTTTTGTGTCATTCGTCCTGTTCATTGAGGTCACAATAGAGCGAACAGTGTGTACTGCTTTTCGGTTCAGAACTATTTCACCATCCTTTCATCTAGAATGTGAGTATATCGTTGTACTTTAGTGGTGAGATGCGCCAACTTCACAATAGACGCATTTTAGGCAGTTCTGTAAACGGGTACACTTTAACCAGAGACACGTTACAATTTTTCATCCTTTCTCCATGGACCCACACAGATCCGCTGCGAACCCTCGACCTGACCACATTCAGTCATATCGCTATTTCTCTTCAGCTTCTCACAGTGTGACAGTTGCTTCTCTGTTCCTAGATGCTATTGTAAGAATGAAAGGGAGATGAAAGCTTTACACCCTGATGTAGTTGCTGAATGCGGCTAGCTGTGTAATACACAGTCGCATTTTGAAGCACTGCATTTCACATGCATGTTCTGCAGAAGGTGAAATTCGGATGAAATTTCACATCAGCACTCACCCACCACTCGATACAGAGGGGAGTGAGTATCCGGTAGACTTCCATTTGCTGGAGCAAGGCGTAAGCCTTAGAATGGGGCTTGTAAACAATGAAAAACGAACTCCCCATCCTCTGAATAGATTATAGGCCACTAATCAGCAATAGGACATTGCGCATCCGTAATACGGGGAAAAGGTTATTCAATTGAGGAATGTGCAGGATTAGGTTCACTGCTAAGATGGAATGGTTGTCATCATAGTACTACCTATTCCTAATTATTCTCTCTCCTATAGAATGCCGTTTTTGCTTTAATTCCAAAATTATCTTCAAGCTATCATCCTGCCGTGGTCCAGTGTGCATAGCACAAGCCCAGGGAGGTTTATGATCAGTACACAACTAATAAGAAGGAAAACGTTCGGAGATGTAAATACCCAGATAGATAATTCAAACAGCAGCGTGCAATCGCACCTAGTAAATAATCTGTCCTTAACCCTACTTCTGACAGATTAGCTGGGGTCATATTTGACAGAAACTTTTGAAGGCCAAAGATCAAAGTGCTTGTTTGTGATCTAGTCATGACCAGCTGTGGGTTCAAATGCATCCTGTTGGTGCTAGAGGTCAATGGAAGTGCTAAGCTATTCACTGGAGGCAGAAACCCAGTCGACCTCGAATAAGGGGTCTTCTGTACGAAGCGGCATGTCCTATCAGTGTTTTGGCAGCCGATCAAAAACAGTACCTTTCTGTCATTGTCTGTAGTTAATTATCCAGTCCATCTTATTTCGCCAATTCAGGTTCATACTATGATCACTCAGCAAGTCTGGTGAATTTTCCGCCCATAAGAGATCAGATTTACAGGAAAAGTGATTTTTCACCTTGGGGGGGACTGAATGTCCTTTAGTGGACTCAAGCTAGACATGTGCACTGGTAATCATGAATATGCTTGATGTTGGATAGATTGATTCTGTCCACTCTGCACAACGAATAGGATTGTATACAGAAGAAAGGGACACTTGTTTGAGAACGATAGGACCAGCTCTACTACAAGAACTCAGTATAGCCATCGAACGAAGAGTTATGTCCGCTGCAGAAAAGAAGNTAATCATTCGGCTGTAACATCCTTTCGGTGCCGAGTTGCCATGCCGCCCGAAGGAAGCACGAGGGCTGGAACACTACCAGGTTGCCCAAGCCTAGACTGGAGAAGTCGAGAGGTAGTAGTCAGGTTCGAACCATGGACCTTCCGGTCAGTAAATTGGCGTTTTAACTACTGAGCCATCTCGCCATCATTTTAGCTGATCAAGAGTGTTGTTTTCTCACCGGGTTCCACTCTTTTGTGTCATTCGTCCTGTTCATTGAGGTCACAATAGAGCGAACAGTGTGTACTGCTTTTCGGTTCAGAACTATTTCACCATCCTTTCATCTAGAATGTGAGTATATCGTTGTACTTTAGTGGTGAGATGCGCCAACTTCACAATAGACGCATTTTAGGCAGTTCTGTAAACGGGTACACTTTAACCAGAGACACGTTACAATTTTTCATCCTTTCTCCATGGACCCACACAGATCCGCTGCGAACCCTCGACCTGACCACATTCAGTCATATCGCTATTTCTCTTCAGCTTCTCACAGTGTGACAGTTGCTTCTCTGTTCCTAGATGCTATTGTAAGAATGAAAGGGAGATGAAAGCTTTACACCCTGATGTAGTTGCTGAATGCGGCTAGCTGTGTAATACACAGTCGCATTTTGAAGCACTGCATTTCACATGCATGTTCTGCAGAAGGTGAAATTCGGATGAAATTTCACATCAGCACTCACCCACCACTCGATACAGAGGGGAGTGAGTATCCGGTAGAGTTCCATTTGCTGGAGCAAGGCGTAAGCCTTAGAATGGGGCTTGTAAACAATGAAAAACGAACTCCCCATCCTCTGAATAGATTATAGGCCACTAATCAGCAATAGGACATTGTGCATCCGTAATACGGGGAAAAGGTTATTCAATTGAGGAATGTGCAGGATTAGGTTCACTGCTAAGATGGAATGGTTGTCATCATAGTACTACCTATTCCTAATTATTCTCTCTCCTATAGAATGCCGTTTTTGCTTTAATTCCAAAATTATCTTCAAGCTATCATCCTGCCGTGGTCCAGTGTGCATAGCACAAGCCCAGGGAGGTTTATGATCAGTACACAACTAATAAGAAGGAAAACGTTCGGAGATGTAAATACCCAGATAGATAATTCAAACAGCAGCGTGCAATCGCACCTAGTAAATAATCTGTCCTTAACCCTACTTCTGACAGATTAGCTGGGGTCATATTTGACAGAAACTTTTGAAGGCCAAAGATCAAAGTGCTTGTTTGTGATCTAGTCATGACCAGCTGTGGGTTCAAATGCATCCTGTTGGTGCTAGAGGTCAATGGAAGTGCTAAGCTATTCACTGGAGGCAGAAACCCAGTCGACCTCGAATAAGGGGTCTTCTGTACGAAGCGGCATGTCCTATCAGTGTTTTGGCAGCCGATCAAAAACAGTACCTTTCTGTAGTTAATTATCCAGTCCATCTTATTTCGCCAATTCAGGTTCATACTATGATCACTCAGCAAGTCTGGTGAATTTTCCGCCCATAAGAGATCAGATTTACAGGAAAAGTGATTTTTCACCTTGGGGGGGGGGACTGAATGTCCTTTAGTGGACTCAAGCTAGACATGTGCACTGGTAATCATGAATATGCTTGATGTTGGATAGATTGATTCTGTCCACTCTGCACAACGAATAGGATTGTATACAGAAGAAAGGGACACTTGTTTGAGAACGCCATTACCACACGAGACGTGGATCAAGAACCTCTCTAGCAAACGACTGACTGCTCAAGAACAGGATGTTCTTGTTAAAGGACTAAACTTCACTTCAAAAGATGCCACCAATCTGGAGTTCTTGGCCAGCCTAGAGGCAGCTATGAAATGTAAACCCGACCTTGACGGTCACGCCTACGCCACAGGTGATGCCGGTTCAAAAAAGCTGCTCTGGCTTTCCCAGTCCTGACAGATACATCATTTTTCGTGAGGTCACCGGGGCTGATACAGCCACCAACGTAAACAAATTCGTCTGCTATCTCAGTTGGTTCATCCTCAAGCATGAGGCTAGGGTTCAACCCTAACCAGTCTTGAAGCATCACTGTACACTTTTCAGGTGTGAAGCGCACGCTAAACTGTAAGGCAGAGTTATTCCGATTATTTAATATTGTTCGCATTACGACAGTGTTAATCCACTACGTAGATAAAGCAAAAGCTCTGCTCAACGACACTACCACGTATCGCCGTCTGGAGAATTGATCAAACTAAAAACTTGCGAACAAAATCAACAAGAGCCTGAAGCGACTGAAGGACCTCCAAAAGATCACAACCGAAGAATATTGGCGAATGGGGGCCA